GGCAGCAGCACAACCACACACGTCACGCTGTCCAGGCACCGCTGCGATATGAGTTAATCTGAGAGACAGTGGAGCACAAAGGCTCTGGAGAAGAAGCCGAGTTAGTGACATCCAGAATGGCCGAGTTAGCAAGATGCAGTAATAGAATACGAGAAGGAGAGAAGGTGCCCGGTGTATTATGGGGGGGGGTCCTCCGGCAGACTAGGCCTAAGTCAGCCTAACTAGGGGCTGGTACAGGGCAAGCCTGAGCCAGCCCTAACTATAAGCTTTATCAAAGAGGAAAGTCTTAAGTCTAGTCTTAAATGTGGAGACGGTGTCTGCCTCCCGGACCGTAACAGGAAGATGATTCTACAGGAGAGGAGCCTGATAGCTGAAGGCTCTTGCTCCTGATCTGCTTTTGGAGATTTTAGGGACCACGAGTAACCCTGCGTTCTCAGAGCGCAGTGTTCTGGTGGGATAATATGGCACTATGAGCTCTCTAAGATATGACGGAGCTTGACCATTTAGAGCTTTATAAGTTAACAGTAGGATTTTAAATTCAATTCTGGATTTTACAGGGAGCCAGTGCAGAGAAGCTAAAACAGGAGAAATATGATCTCGTTTCTTAGTTCCTGTTAGTACACGTGCTGCTGCATTCTGAATTAGCTGGAGAGTTTTTAAGGACTTACTAGAGCTACCTGATAATAGAGAGTTACAGTAATCCAGCCTAGAGGTAACAAAAGCGTGGACCAATTTTTCTGTATCTTTTCGGGTCAGGATAGGCCTAATTTTCGCAATATTACGCAGATGAAAAAATGCAGTCCGTGAGGTTTGTTTTAAATGAGAATTAAAAGACAAATCTTGATCAAATATTACTCCGAGGTTTCTTATGGTAGTGCTAGAGGCCAGAGCAGTGCCATCTAGAGAAACTATGTCATCAGATAAAGAGTCTCTGAGTTGTTTGGGGCCAAGAACAATAACTTCAGTTTTGTCTGAATTTAACATCAGGAAATTGGTGCTCATCCAAGTTTTTATGTCTTTAAGGCAGTTATGGAGTTTAGTTAATTGATTACTTTCTTCTGGCTTCATCGATAAATACAACTGAGTATCATCCGCATAACAATGGAAATTTATAGAGTGATTTCTAATGATGTTACCTAAAGGAAGCATATATAGAGTAAATAGGATTGGTCCGAGCACAGAACCTTGCGGAACTCCAAAACAAACTTTGGTACGTAAGGATGATTCATTATGAACGTCAACAAACTGAAAACGATCAGATAAATAAGATTTAAACCAGCTTAGTGCAGAACCTTTTAGGCCAATTAAGTGATCCAGTCTCTGCAGTAGAATTTGATGGTCAATTGTATCAAACGCCGCACTAAGATCTAATAAAACAAGTACAGAGACAAGTCCTTTGTCTGAAGCAATCAGAAGGTCATTTGTAATTTTAACTAGTGCTGTCTCAGTGCTATGATGCACTCTAAATCCTGACTGAAATTCCTCATATAAATTATTATCATGGAGAAAATCACACAGCTGGTCTGTGACTACTTTCTCAAGGATCTTTGACATAAAGGGAAGATTAGATATTGGTCTATAGTTGGCTAACACCTCTGGATCCAGGGTGGGCTTTTTAGTAGAGGTTTAATTACAGCTACCTTAAAAGACTGTGGTACATAGCTTGTTAATAAGGATATATTGATCATATCTAATATATGAGTGTTAACTAAAGGAAAGACCTCCTTAAGTAGCCTAGTTGGGATGGGGTCTAAGACACGTTGATGATTTAGATGAAGAAATCACTGCTGTCAATTCTTGAAGAGAAATTAGGGAGAAGCAATCTAAATATATATTAGGTCTTACAGCTGTGTTTGAGGTTAGATAGCTACTATCTGAGGACAGGAGGTCATGAATTTTGCCTCTAATAGTTAGAATTTTGTCATTAAAAAAGCTCATTAAATCATTACTGCTAAGGGCTAAAGGAATACAAAGCTCAAGAGAGCTCTGACTCTCAGTCAGCCTGGCTACAGTGCTGAAAAGAAACCTGGGGTTGTTCTTGTTTTCTTCTATTAATGCTGAGTAATAGTTTGCTCTGGCATTGCGGAGGCCCCTCTTATAAGTTTTGAGACTGTCTGTCCAGATTAAACGAGATTCTTCCAGTTTTGTCAATCGCCAATTCCTTTCAGATTTTCGCGATATTTGTTTTAACTTACGGGTTTGAGAGTTATACCAAGGAGCGAACTTTCTTTGCTTTTTTAACTTATTTTTAAGAGGAGCTACAGAGTCAAGTGTTGTTCGCAGCGAGCCTACGGTGCTATCGACAAAATGATCAAAGTCGGTACAGGAAACCTCTGTTACTGAGGGACTTGGTATTGAATTTAACGACGGAGTAATCTTTTCCTTAAATTTTGCGACAGCACTATCTGATAAACATCTAGTATAGTAACTGTTGCTGAGTGGCGTGTAATCGGGTAAAAAGAAATCAAAAGTAATCAGATAATGATCCGATAGTGAGGGATTCTGTGGAAAGACTTTTAGGTTATCAGTTTCAATTCCGTACGTCAGAACTAGATCGAGGGTATGGTTAAAACAATGAGTGGGTTCATGTACACCCTGACTGAAGCCAATGGAGTCTAATAATGAGATAAACGCGGTAGCCAGGGAGTCATTATCAACGTCAACATGAATGTTAAAATCGCCTACAATAATAACTTTATCTGATTTAAGAACTTAACTGGCTCAGGCTCCTTCCCTTCCCTTCTTCTTCTAACAACCATTCATAGTTTTACTAAAGTGTTATTTGTGGAAATATACTGAACAAAAATTAATGTGCAACACTTTTATTTTTGCTTCTTTTTTTTTTTTTTTTTTTTTTTACAATTTTAAGTTAAAGATCTAAGACATTTTTCATGCTCTCAATAGATAACGACTCCACCAGAGCTGTTGTCCATGAACTGAATGTTCATTTTACTACCATTAGACGTCTCCACTGTCATTTCTGTGAATTTGGGAGTCCATCCAACCAGCCTCACAATTGCACACCATGAGTGACCACACTAGCCTGGGACCTCTACATCCAGTGTCTTCACCTGGGAGATCATCCAAGACCAGCCACCTAAACAACTGATGCAACAGTTGGTTTGCACAACCGAAGAATTTCTGCACAGTCCATCAGAAACTATCACAGGGAAGCTCATCTGCGTGCTCATCGTCCTCACCAGGGCCTAAACCTGACAGCATTTCATCATTGTAACCAACTTGTGAAGTTGTGAGGTCGAATTGATATACTGCCAAATTCATGGAAACAACATCGGAGACGTGTTAAGGTAGTGAAAGGAGCATTCAGCTCATGGACAACAGTTTTGGTGGACATACTCTACCTGCAGTCAGCTGTTTAATCATCATCTAGATATGAAACACCTGTCAGGTGGATGGATTATCTTGGAATAGGAGAAGTGCTCACTGACATAGATTTTACCAAATTTGTGACCAAAATTTGAGAAAAATAAATCTATTGAGTGCACAAGACAAGTCTTAGATCTTTTACTTAAATCTGTGTAAATGGGAGCAAACACAAAGGTGTGTTTAAGTTTTTGTTCATTCTTGTTGTGCAAAATTTGTTACAATCTAAGATAAATGGGCTAACAACTGATAATGTAATTATTTGGTTTAGAGGGCCTATAAAGGGAAGCAATACATGCATAGTTGAAAGACCCAGTGCTAATATACTCTGTCAACACTCATGGAATGTGTCTAGTTCAATCAAATTACTTGGTTAGAAGTAGCTGTTGTATAAATTTTGATTGTACTTTCTCATGGTAAAAGCAACAGTTGCTTTATATACCACTGACTGGGCCAAATAGTTATCACAAATTTATTTTAAATTAAAAAAAAAAAAAAAAAGCCACACAAAATATGCATCAAATCATTTTATTGTGCACATCACACAGTTAAAGAGGTAAATTCATCGTGGCTGGATTGCACAGTACAACTGGAACTACATGCAAACAGTGCACAAATCACAGTTTCAGGATAAAAACAAGGCTCCTTTTTGCCTCTCACTTCGACATCTTGTTAATGTTAATAAAACAAAGCATCTGCAAAAACTATTAGCTAAATAGAAGTGTTTAGACAGTTAAGATTCTGTGATGCGTCTGATTGAGTTGAACCTCACATCGTCGCTGCCGATCTCTCTGAGGTTCCTGTACTTTCCTGGCTTCAGATAAAACATCCTGCCTTCGTAGTTTGGCTGCTCAAACATTAACCAGTAGCCGTCCATCACGTTGCAGGACTGCATGTCCAGCATGTGATAGTGATCCTGGATGGATTCGCAGTCGTCGGTCAGCTCCTGCATCTGCCCTTCAAAGTTAGCTTTCTCGTAGATCCTCATCTTAAAGGGTCCCTTGTGCTGTTTAAATACAAAGTTTAAAATAAAATAAAATATATGCATGAATTAACAAGAGCTGTGGTGCTGTGTAGTTTTAGCTAGCTGCTGTGAAAAGCTAAAGGTCTTACTAGGAAATACGAAGTAACTGTAAGCTAACTCTGTTGAGGACTGTACTTGTTAGCATGCTGAATGAGAAGTTAAATATCAGTTTACTCCTCATAAAAGTCATCCTGTTTACAAATGTGTGAATAAAAATGCAGCATTTGCTCAAGTGTTAACAATGCTTGCAATACTGGAGCAAATGCTAGCTAGCTAGCTAGCTAGCTAGCTAGCAATACATGTAAGGGTATTGCTTGCTAGCCCGCTAGTTAACAAGCGAAAACAAAAGACCGCTTCAAAAGAAAGTTGATCTTTGTCATTTTTAGAAACAGTAGTTTGCAGAAAAACATTAACCTTCACCCTTTTCAAGAGCTTTCAACCACATCCCCAAAACTGAAAGCTCAAAGAAAGTATGAGGACATTGAGCATTTTTTCAAGCTTCTAGTGTTGTCATAAGGCGCTTTTTCTCATTTCCAATGTTTTTTTCTAATTTAGCAGTTTCCCCTCTTTTCTCCTCTTAAACACATCCTAGAAATATCAACTGGAGGCACAGAGGAAAAACATTCTCCTTTTTCTGGGTAAGACAGCAACCAAACATATTTCTCATGTCCCTTTACATTACTATCTTTGTCTCCTTGATTAATAATGAAACTTACCACAGGGACGACGCGGCAGGACTGAATGCAGTCATTGAAGCCGATGGTATTCTGATACTCGGGGTACTCTCCCCTGGTCAGGAGGTACTGCTGGCCAGTGTAGTTGGGCTGATCATAGACCATGAACACACCGCTCTCCACCTTGCAGGAGCTGCATCGGCTCAGATGAGAGGCGATTTCAGAGCAGTCGCTGACGCACTCATACGAGCGGCCCTGGAAGTTTCTCCCCTCGAAGAAGACGATCTAGAGAGAAAGACACAGATTGTTTTATGCATTAGAAAACTTCCAGAGCTCAGTGTTCAAGTGAGTTATCTGATTATTATAAACACAAATCACACTGTTTTGCATGGCAGAAGTTATGTGCAAAAGTATTTGGGCACATTTACAACATAGAATTATGATTGAGGCAATGTGTGCATCATTTAGTTGGCTGGTGCAGTGATTTGCACCCTTCATTACCTTTCCGCTCATGATCACGCTATTTGATTTCTGTTGTTCTTCTCACTGGCGCGCTGCCTTTTATGCATCATGTGACATCAAAAGAATCTGCCCCTCAATTGTACAAAATAACTGAGTCAGCTTATCTGCATGCAAGTCCCTACTGTATTATGCATCAAAGCTGTGAACAGATTAAACAGTAGTGGTGCAGCTTTCACAGTAACAAAGCAAACTCTAGTTATTGCATTACTTTTGTATCTTTGTGCCATCATTTTCATAATAGGACACATTTATGTTTATAGAACAGTATGCAACAGATCGGCGTGTCAACAGGGGCAAGATTATATTAAATGCTTTGATTTAAAGTGAAATATGTGACTTTTGAAAGCAGAAATAACACAGTTCTCCTTTTACAAATATTGAATTCCCCAGAAATAAAAATGTCCACTTGTCCAAAATGGAATTGCCAGGTCACTCTAATGCTTTCTGAGCATGTTCATGCTCCTCAGAGGATGAAACCTTTGTACTTAGGACACATATGCATCCCTCTAGCACCACCCTCAGGACAAATTTCAGCTTTGTACACAGAATATCTCAAAATTTAACCTGCAGATTTCCATGAAATTTACGGAGTACATTCATGTTCTCAAGGGAATTATACTTTTTAAATTTAAGAATCACATGACATTTCCATTAGTGGCACCCTCAAGAGAGACTTGACATGTCAAGACCCCCAAAATAAAAATAATTATCACTTTGTTGTTGTTGTTGAAGTTGCGAGTGGTTCCTGTGAGTGCTATCCATCTACACTTACATTATGTATCAGTACTGAAGATTGAAACAAAACCCAACATGGCTCATACTAAAATTCACTGAATGCCATCCAAATGTAATAATTAATCTCACAGAAAGAAAAACTGCATTGTGACAATTTCATTTTTAGTTTTGGTAAAGGTGAAATACATTAAGAAAAATATATTATTATTATTGTTATTATTATTATTATCATTATATATGACATGTTTTTTCACTGGAAAACTATCTTGACCATACTACTGTGGTCAAAGTTGAACCAAGAAGTTGTTCTGCAATGCTCTAATGTAAAGATTTGTAATAGATGTTTACACTGGACAATCTCAGTAATAGATTAATGTCATAAACTGAATGAGAAGCAGTTGTAAGAATGGTTGGTAAAAATCTTGGGAACATTCAGAATGGAGATGTGATGACTGCTGAGCATTGTACATAGTAATATTAGCATAATTAAAAAAAACAAAACAAAAACAACTTTAGTATGGAAGGACTCAGCTGCTGTTAAAGAAGTTTATATTTATATACTGAATGTACCAGCATAAACGATCACATAATATTAATATTATATTTTGGGAATCTAAATTTCAGAGTCTCCATCTGACCTCTGTAGGGACAAATTGTTCCCCTTACACCACTGTCGTCATACCCCAGATAAAGAAAACTACAGAACAGCAGAAAAAAAAATGAAAATATGATTTTTATTTTTCACCCACAGTTTCTTTAATTTAACAAGAATCAGCACATATCCATGATGCGCCTGATGGAGCTGACCCTCATCAAGTTGCTCGCGCCTGTGTCTCGGAGGCCCCTGTACTCCCCGGGCCTCACGTACGTCATTCGGCCTCTGTAGTTGGGGTGCTCGAACATCAGCCAGTGGCCGTCCATCACGCTGCAGGACTGCATGTCGGACATCAAGAAACGATCCTGGAGAGACTCACAGTCATCCATCAGCTCATGCATCTGGCCTCCAAAGTTCTCCCTTTTGTAGATCCTCATCCTGAACTGCCCCCTGTGCTGTTGGAGGAAGACAAGACATGATGTAAGTCCTTTTATTCTCTAGAGTACCTTTCTTAGTCTGGAGACTGTTCTGGAGACTGTGGGTGGAAACCACAACTACCAAAATGTCTTACCATTGGCACCACGCGACAGGAGCGCACGGTATCCAACATACCCATGCCCATCATGCTCCCCATGCACTGAAAGTCAGAATACTCCCCTCTCTTCAGGAAGATCTGATTACCCATGAAGTTTGGGCGGTCATACGCCACAAAGCACCCATTTTCCACCCTGCAGGAGTTGCAGCGGTTCAGGTGCATGTGGATGTCAGAGCAGTCGCTGCTGCAGTCATAGGACCGGCCCTGGAAGTTCCTGTCCTCATAGAAAATGATCTGAAGTAGAAAAACAATAGGAAACTTTGTCATCAGATGAAATACTTAAGCACATTTGCATCATACATTTGTAAACTATAAATTTATTATTACGACAATGGCACCGGATTTTTCAACATGATACAAACATATGATAACTATTACCCTGCCCATGGTGACACGTTTAGTTTTTGCAAATGATGCCAACCCAGCGCCACTTTTATATATCAGCTGCAGACCACCTTGCGCACCTTTGTGTGAAACATCATGACTCATCACGAGGTTCACGTGGGCCTGCATTCATTTTTTACAGCACACCTCAATAGTTATTATTGTATGTTGAATGTAGTTTTTGGAGGTCATGTCAGGTCATAACAGAAGCAAAACATTCCTCAAATGATGTATTTTTAATACATCACATTTGCATTTCACATCCTACAAGGCCAAAGCTTTGTTTTGTGGTATTTGTTCAATTCCTTTAACCATAGACAATAACCAAAAAGCTCAGACTCATCTTTTGATCAGATATGCACACCACATAGATTTATACACAAAAGATGCGAATTAAATAGTTGAAGTTTCTGGAAGCACATATAAAACCCAATATTGACAATAACTATTGCAGATTCTGACATACAGTGAAGTGTGTGCAGCACTATAGGGTGGCTGCACTGTGCCACAATATAGAGTGATGACTCAAAGGTTTCAGCACAAGCCATGTGGAAATAGTACGGCCGTGCAATGTATAAAAAGGGAAAAGGCTCGATGTTGAAGCTGTACATCTGAGATTAGCTCACAAATATCATGACCATGGGGAGGGTAAGTGAAATTTTAATAACATCTGGCACACAGTAACATTAAAAAGATGAAATTTCACAGACAAAATGTTAATCAGGCTCTCATCGTTGTTTGCAGATCATTTTCTACGAGGACCGTAACTTCCAGGGTCGCTCCTATGAGACCAGCAGCGACTGCCCCGAGCTCACCTCCTACCTGAGCAGGTGTAACTCCTGCAGGGTGGAGAGCGGCCTCTTCATGGTCTACGAGAAGCCCAACTTCATGGGCCATCAGATGCTGGTGAGGAGGGGCGAGTATCCAGACAACCAGCACCTGATGGGAATGAGTATAAGTGACTGCATCAGGTCCAGTCGCATGATCCCCATGGTAGGTTTATCAGTTGTGTTATAGCCCAGTCATAACACAAATTATTGGAGAAATTCTTTCACGCATCTAAAAAGACTTACCAACCAGGCAGTAAATAACGCCCCAAAGAGGGATTCTGTATATTGATATGAAATGGACACTCTTGTCCATGTTGGACAACGTTAAAAGCAGCCTGTCTATTGGTTGACTGCATAAATTTGTAAGTTGAGAAGACATCTGTCAAAAAATATAATGAACTCAAGGTTTACACTTACAAGCATTCGACCTTATCTCACAGTCTCAAGTAACTGAAGTGCCAAATTTCGATGACATGATAACTCCTGTGCCTTTTACGTTTGCTGAGGAAGGCTGTCTGGAAGCTTCTGGAAAAGCTGGGACCTTGAGTTTTGAGATCCCAGTGATACACTGATTCTATCCAGAATTTGGTGTGTTTTATATTTGCAAATCCACTTTGTGATTGAAAAAGTTGAACATTTTAAAAAATGCTCCTGTTTTACAAAATATTGTAATAACTTTTTGAGGTTGTCGGTATGGAGGCCAAGAATGGCCGTTATTTTAAGATGACGCGTTATTACTACAGTTGTTTTTTCCTAAAAACGGGATGATTACCTTGATGAAACAAAAAGTCGTTCTCTCGAGATCATGAGATAATCAACTTGATTACTTGATTGCAGTCTCAATGTAGCCAGCCACCTTTATTCATACACCAGTCTCTTCAAACAAGTGTCAAACCACAGCTGTGATGTGTAGATCCAAAGGTTGTGTTGATTTTCAGTTCAGAGGTCTACCTTCATTTCACCAATATTCCTTCATCCACAGCACAGGGGACCCTTCAGAATGAGGATCTATGAGAAGGAGAACTTTGGAGGCCAGATGCATGAGCTGATGGACGACTGCGACAACATGATGGATCGCTTCCACATGTCTGACTGCCAGTCCTGCAACGTGATGGATGGCCACTGGCTGATGTTCGAGCAGCCCAGCTATAGGGGCAAGATGCTGTACCTGAGGCCAGGAGAGTACAGGAACCTTAGAGACATGGGGATGGGCGACATGTTGAGGTTCAGCTCCATCAGGCGCATCATGGACGCCTGTTAACTCTAAATGTACCAAGTGGAAAAATAAAGCAAGTTGATATCCAGTGTTCCTCATTCCTGCCTGTCATTGTGGTGCTTCAGAACCATTTTTTCTAAAATGAACAGTGACTCCTACTGGTTGGCAACCATTTACTTTCACCACATGTTGGTATGTTGTGAAATTCTTACTCTGGTGCATTTATGGAGACTCTGGCATTAGTATTTGAGAGTCAGGTATGAAAAGCTTTACTGTTAGAAAATCTGTCCCACAGGGCAAACAATTTGCAAACAGGATGGTTTGAAATAAAGCATCATTGGATAATTTCCTCAAATAAAGATTTAAGCAGCTGACTATCTCAATTCAAATTAGTTTCCTACAAGCATTTCAAAACACAGTTTTCAAAACAGTCACTAATGGCAGCACTTTGACTTAAGACTTAAGTTTCTGCAAGCTAAACTGAAACTCCTAACCTGGATGACAAAAAAAAGCTGAAGTGAAAAACCAAAGAAGAATAAAGAGATATATGGGGGGAAAATTGTTAGCATTCATGGGGTTTGGGTCATTACTTGCTACCATTTGTTTGTGGACTACCATTTTGAGGCTTGGAGTTTGGCATTTTGGCCATTGCGATCCTGGATTTTTAGAACGACTATTTATGGGTGAGAGGTTGGTAATAACCCTCACGTTAACTGCTGTCATGATTAACAGTGCATTTACAGCTATGGTTAACTGTGATAATGGTAATGCTAAGTTTTGCTAGCAAAAAACAGGTTTAAAATCATTAAAACAAATGTACTTACCAAAAAACTGAATATCCAACTCCTTGGAGCTTTTTAGTACAACCGTATTACCTAACCAAGGTTGCTGCAGTGGTAGAGATTTATCAGTGAACGGCATCCACCTGTCACTCAAAGCAGCCATGCCCTTAATTGTTATGTATGTTACGTTACATTACGTTACGTTATGTTTCAACAACGCTGTGGTAACGTGATCTGGTTTGGCCCCAAAACTACTTAAATATGCTTAGGAATAGATCATGTTTTGGCTTAAGACATCAGCTTTTGTTGGCACAATCATGGCAATGTCTTGGTAAAAAATCACCAATGATTGGTGCCTAAAAAGCTGCTGGAATTGCATAAATAATTGACTAAATCCCAACCAGTTTTGTTGTTTGTTGGTATTTAAAAGTGGTCTGCAGCTTGGCAGGCATCTCACCAAGGTTTCACACCATCAGCTATCTCTTCCATCTGTTGATATGATACGGATTAAACGTGCAAATGGAATGATTTGTGGTTTGCAGAAACGTATAATCCCAACATTCTCGTCAAAAACAGCAATTGTTGTCCCTTCCTTTTAACAGTAAATTCAGAAAGAAAATCTCCCATCGATTCTAGTCGATGTGAACGTATAAACTAGACTTTTTTGCAGACTCAATTTTAAACTGACAGCTTATATATGAGGAGCATGACAGCAGAGAAATAACAGTTAAATTGTAGTTACAATGAACTAAAATTATATGTATTATTTAACATGTGACAATATTGCTTGCAACAGTAGATCAAAATGACAGTTTTTACATTACACACATGAAACTATAGGTGTTTACATCTGTATTAAAATGTTTCCAAAGGAGAACCAACGTTCTGATATTTGGGAAGTGTTTTAAACAAATGACGTTTAGAAAGCAGGGCAATAAAGTTAAAAGTAAGAATTTAGAAAATATTAAGTTATTTTAATGTTGTCATTGGCAGCTGTCATGGATATACAGATCATTTAACACTGCAGAATCATTTCTTTCCCTCCCCGTGTGACTCTGACCCTCTGCCTTCACTGTTCCAGCATGGGGTTGATACAGAGCCATCATCAGACTGGAACAAAGGCAAATCAAACAGCACCAAGCCATTTTGCTGATATGTAAATCTACCTCATTTGTGTATCAAAGACTTGCTGCACTCTGCACATTTTGTTTATCGATAAATACTTTGATGGGGCTGCAGCAAGGAATGAGGTTTACAGTGCATCCAAATGGGGAAGGTAAGATAAAACCCACTGCAACTGGTGTGCTTTTTAAAAGTCCTTTACAGATATTCATGTTCAGAAAATACTCACATTGTGTCATTAAGGCTCTTCCTCTTACTTTCACAGATCACATTTTATGAGGAGAAGAATTTCCAGGGCCGCTGCTACAACTGCAGCAGCGACTGTGCTGATCTGCACACGTACTTCACCCGCTGCAACTCCATCAGGGTGGAGAGCGGTGTGTGGGTGATCTATGAGAGACCCAACTACAAGGGTTTCCAGTACATCCTCAGCCCTGGGGAGTACGCGGACAACCAGCAGTGGATGGCCTTCAGCGAGAACGTCAAATCCTGCCGCACCATAAAGAATGTAAGGGTCCTCGTTCATGGCAAATACAACAGAAGATTTTAGGTCTGTTTCTGGGTAGTTACAGAAAAGTGTGTTTAGCGAAACCTTTGGCAGTAAGTGTTTTAGGCAAAATGTAATCTGTTACCTGAAGATACTGTTTTTCTAAGGACATAGCAATTATCTCGTGTGATTTTGGAAGGGATGTAAAGGACACATCCCCTGCAATATTTAGAACATGTGCATGACAGTAGCTGCAGTAGCAAGATGTACTTTACAATTTTGTGTACCAACCAATGTCCATAGCACATATCTTGTGTTTTTAGGCTTATGGCACCACGTGGAAGCTGAGGCTGTACGAGAGGCCAGACTTTGGCGGGCAAATGGTGGAGTGCTCTGATGACTGTCCTTCAGTGTATGACACCTACAAGATGCGCGAGGCGTACTCCTGCGTGGTGACCGATGGCGCTTGGGTGTTCTACGACCTCCCCAACTACAAGGGGCACCAGTACCTCCTAGAGCGAGGCGAGTACCGCCAGCACAGCGACTGGGGGGCAACCTCGCCCGGTGTGGGCTCCTTCCGCAGGATCACAGAGTTTTAACTCTACCTCCGCTTTAGCTTTGACCAGATAAGATTCAAGATCTTTCCAGATGCCTGACGCGACATATCAATAAATGAGAAGCAAACTCTAACTTGTCTCATGGATTTACTGTAAATATGTCTCATGCTAGACCACTGATTGTAATTATTGACATAATTCATCATATAATTTGATACTAGTTTGAGGTAGCAAACACCAAAACTCATAATCACGACTTAAAGGTGTACTACAGTAATTTAGTTATGCACATCTGTAAAGTTGGGGGACTTGCAAGAGACTTATTAAAGATTAACAAAAGATTAATAATAATGGTCAGAAGAGACAGAGGCAGAGATATCCCAACTTTTAGTCTTCCAATATTGCAAATCACCAGCCTTTTTGTTAGACCCTCCATGCCTGGTAAATGCCCAAACCTTCAAACTCCATGACTCCAGTTTTTAACACACTTCCTGTTATAAATTTGCAGGCTCCGAACTCAAACTAATAAATCAAAGACAATGGTTAAAATAGGTGGAGTGACTCTAAATGTCTCATTATCTCTGGTTAAGATTTGTTAGTGAGTTTCACCATGAAGGGATGCCTTTCGATCTTGATAAGAAGACAAGAACAGAGCAAAAATGAAGAGAAAGAAGGTAAAAGAATATAATTAATTCCTGATCACGAGATAAGTGTTTGATAACTTAGGATAATGCAATAATAAAACTGTCATCTGAGGATAAGTGGCTAAATAACACCAAAGGTTTTCATTCCAAACATCATTTTAAAATTTGTATAACTGCAACTGTGACAAATTCACAATTCACGGCTTTTGCGGCCACTAAATCTGCGCAAACAAGACAAAAAGAAAACGTGTAAAGCACCTGCAAAGGATGAAATGCACCCCTAATTATGCCGCCATGTAAATAGCATCTCAGTGTTTCTGTGTTGTTTGTATCTTTTTAAATGAGTATATGCAGACATTTGGCACAAAGTTGACCCCTTTTTATGCAAATAAACCTCACCGCAAAAAAACAGTCCAGTTCACAAAGATTGGTGCTAACAGCCACACGCCATTACAGCGAAATTATTAGCATCTTCAGAGAGTTTGAAATTTGCCCCGAGACCCACTAACAGTCAGACAGTCGCAGCCGCAATGTTCATTACACTCTGCAGTATGAATATCAGACAAAATTAAGAGCATACTGGTGATTTACCTACAGTATTCTTGCACTTGCAAGTTTCACCTAATGGAGTAAGATGTGAGGTCATGGAGTGTCCTCTCAGGAGCATTAATGTGCTCGGTAAACATCACTGCAATCTGATGCTTAGATTTTTATATTTCCTGTGTACCACTCCTGACTATGGCACGAGAGGACAGGTCATGTGTGGGTCAGCAGATACTTCGTTGTCATTGCTTAACTTGACAAGTACTGACCCTTTACCTCTAGGGTTCGTCCTCTGGGGACCACAAATATCTACAGTATATGTCTCAATAATTATTTGAATGGATTTTTAATGTTTTTTTTGTTTGTTTTTGTTTTTTTTAATTGGTGCAAAGGGCAGTTCACAAAACCAAGGTTGTAACATACAATACCTACATGGGGGGAATATAGACAAAATGAGGCAAAACAAACAAAAAATTAGGAACTAACCAATCCGATCTCTTTACCAGCTTGTGAAATACCGACACCTGGTCAATGGTGTCAGATACCGATGCGCAGAGGTGCCCTTAGCAGTTGTATGAGACACACCTAGTGGCAGCATTTTGTGACGCCCTGGGCAATTACTGTAGTATAAAGAGCAAGAAACTCTGCATTGGGCAAGTGGGAGAAGTGGTGGATGGGTAAAACAAACGTGTCCCGTGTGAAACCAGAAGTCAATCGAAGTCTTTTAAAAGCAGCGTAGTGTGCTAGCATGTGTAGCATACGACACTGTAGGAATGTCACTTGATGTACATGACCTTACATCACGTAACAACTGTACTTATTTTAAACCAGACCATGTTTTTTTTCTTAATCTCGCCACTTGCTTTTGTTGCTTAAACATCTGAACGTAAAAAGTATTTTCACCTAGTTTTTAATTTTATTTGAAAAGAGACTGCATGCATTTAATAAGCAAAAACTGTATGTTTCCTGTAAAAATGGAATTTATTTCAAAAAGACAATTCGTGTAACAAGCGTAAATTGACACGCCGTCCCTGTACGTGGAAAATTGACGCAGGAGGGGTACCTAGCATGTCATATTTTGACGTGTCGGGCCAGTGACTAAGCGTCAGAGAAAGGATGTGTTGCTATAACAATATTCTTGCTGCTATAAATATGCAAACCAGTCGTTACTGTGCTGAGCGTGGTTATGTCTGGCCAACATGTGTATGAGCGTGTATACATTTGTATCTGATACAGAAGAGACATAGAAGAGAAGGACTAAATATGCATATATATATATATATATATATATATATATATAAAAAGAAACTAAGAATCATGAATAACAAAATTAAATAAAAAAAAATACAGGTTTGCTTCCATAAAGTAATACATATATTTTAGTACCTTCAGAAATTTGACCCAAAAGAAAACTTCACTGTTGACTTCTTGAGAGTTTTTTCGAGGCTGTTCTCATGGAGAATCATCATCACTGTGACTGTTTTCAGTGTAAAACTATTTAACTTGCTATTTCTTAGGTCAAGAGTGCACCTTGTTTGATATAAATCAGTTATGCAGTGTGTAAAATCACGACTCACTATGTCCTGTAAAGTATCTGGAGCCTTCCTGCAGTGTCACTGACTCAGCTCAACACGTTTTATATCAAACCAGATGTCCTGCAGTGCCCTTGTTTTTGTCAGCACGCTGTGCAGCATCCAGTGGCTTTGGGGTGCTTTGCACTTTGCGTTTGCATTGTTTAGGGAAACAGGATTCACTGCTTCAGAACAATGTGATAAGCCTGGATAAATATTTGAATCGCCAATTGAATAATCCAGTTCACACAAAGCAAACTATGTGCTTAGTTTTATTGTTCTTGTTCTGTATAAAGAGAATATTGGAGGTGGCTGCTTTAATGTTTTATATCACACACCAAACCAATTGATATTAACTATGGAGAAGGTACATTTCATTTATTTATTTTTAATGTGGCATAACTTAGCTTATATGGTATTTAAAGATAAACGAATGCGAACTATGTATTTATATTAAAACGTGCTGATTTAAAAGCCTCTTCACAGCCTTAAAGGTTTAATATTACGTTTATATTCCTTTTCCAGATCATTTTCTACGAAGACAGAAACTTTCAGGGTCGATTCCACGAGTGTGACAATGACTCGAGCGACCTGCACATATACCTTAGCCGCTGCAACTCCATCCGAGTGGAGGGAGGATTCTGGGTCATCTTTGAGAGACCAAACTACATGGGCTACCAGTATGTGCTGAGCCCAGGAGAGTACCCAGACTACCAGCGCTGGCTGGGCATCAACGACACCATCCGCTCCTGTCGCATTATTAGGAACGTAAGTTAAAAGAGTAGTTCTAGATGTAGGGATTGGTAATCTTGACTCAAGGTCCACTTACTTGCCTATACGAGAGCTTTCAGCCACATCTCATGGTCTTTATCGGAGGATAAAGTCTACTCAATTATCCTAAAGATCTTCAGTTGCCATGATGTCCTTTAAGTCACTTGATAACAGGTAGTCGTACACCCAAGCTCATATGCTGATGAAGGCCATGAGCTGTAGGTGAAAGCCCTGGAAGAAGCAAGTGATCCTTGAGTTGAAATTATTATGTCAAAATATGTTAAAACAGTTTTATGCTTTTGAATATTAGCCTTTTAGATTTAGCTTTTGGTTTGTTTCAAGCGTGTATATCTGTGGACAGAAACCAATTTTTCTTCTACAGTCGTTGATTGTCGCAAACATTCAGTGTCCTCCATTTCTTTCTTCCAGGTGGGGAACTCATGGAGGCTGAAGGTTTGGGAGAAGCCCAACTTTGAGGGCCAGTCAATGGAGGTGACAGACAACATGCCCGTCTTCCATGAACGCTGGCACAGCCGCGAGGTCCACTCCTGCAAGGTGTTCGAAGGCGCCTGGATCTTCTATGAGCATCCCAACTACAGGGGGCATATGTACCTGCTGGAGATGGGCGAGTACAGACGGCACACAGAGTGGGGGGGCATGCAGCCCATTGTTGGATCCATCCGCCGGCTTAAGGAGCATTAGCCATGTAATTTAGCAAAAATGTGTGATGAGGCTGAAAAATAAAGTCATGATGCAAAATTTATTTGCCGTCTTCCTTTTTTTGAAACTAAAAACCTGCATTATTAAACATATCACATGTCACACATTTATTATGTTTCACTTGTTAAATACAAAATCAGTTATTATTTTGCCACTCATGCAAAGGTTCCTCGATAAAAGCACACGTGACGGTTCATATGATACCCTATGAATTAGCGCCCCACAAATGATGCTACATACTTAACGTAAAGTTATGTAATTAAAGTACAGTTACGGAGGTTAAGTTAAAGCAAGTAAATTTACTGTGGTTAGGTTTATGAAAAGAAACATGGTGACGATGCACCCTAAAACAGTGGTTGCCAACTGGTCCACCCACGGGGTCCAGATTTCTCCTTAGTCATTAGTTCAAGGTCCCTGCAGTTCATATATTCAGTGTCATATTTGCGTTCGGCCATGTTGTCAAGCTAGTTTGCTGTACTTCACTCACTGTACTTAAAAATAAAGTGTGTTTTTCACAAACTTGACACATTCACAAATCAGTCTATTGACAATGGACCCGTGACCCACCAGTTGGGAACCACTGCCCTAAAATAACTCAAAGCTCACTCGATTTCAAACACCAGTCTCCTGCGGAAAGTCCCAGTGCATTGGATACATTATTGCAGCCTTGCAAAATATATGGGTTATACACAAATTACTGGCTCATGATGACATGGGATATGTACAAATTTTGGTGCATTACATTTGTGGGAGAACAGCCTGCAAAATTATTCAGAGCTGTGACTGTTCCGACAGGTGATATTTTTTCTGCACATATTTTTTTTTTTGTCTTGTGGCCCTTTTGGGCCTTCGTACACTTACAGAATGCTAACTTGGATATTTAATTGAATATACCATATAACTCTAAATGTTTGAAATGTTGCAGTGATTACATACGTCACACAGTTTTATGAAATTGACTAAAACGTATTTTTTTCTTGTTTTTGTTCGTAGCTTAGCATAGCTAAAGAGATTTGACTTCAATAAAGATTTCAAATTCAAGCCAACATTTCATGGCCATAACGTACTTTAGATCTGAAAACAATCTTTAAACACATCACAGAATATGTTTTAATATTCTGTTTTTAAACTGCAATATCTTTATGTCTGTTTCCGTATGGTGATTGGAAATAGCTAATTGTCAGAGAGTAAAAGTATGTGCAATATAAATTATGTAAAATTAGTGAAAATGTATGTTATGTATTGCATACAAAAAGTTACAGCATGAACTAGTTCAACATGGTGACACCATCCAGTCCAAATTTCCTGCATCACCACAGGAGCAATCAAACCGAGGCCATGTACTTTAAAACAATTGCAGCATCAGCTAATATGTCAAAGTTAATGGGGAGCTCATTTGAATGACAATAAATCCACTGGCAGTGCATTTCATCAGCCTTTATATGAAAGTGGACCATCGATGATGCTGCGTGAATGAGGGCTTTGATTTGATGGGGTGAGGAGGAAGATAAGGTGACTATGGAGCGCATGGGGAAAGTGAGTACTGTAACATAATAATATGATGCACCTGATGCTAACTGCTAAATGGTTGCATATAACATTCAAGAGCTATGTGCTTTGAGTTTAGTAGGGGTGTTATTTCATTAACAGTTGGTCCTTCTTGCAGATCTTTTTCTATGAGGACAGGAACTTCAAGGGCCATTACTATGAATGCAGTAGTGACTGTCCTGAGCTCAGCTCACACTTCCAGCGTTGTAACTCCATCCGAGTGGAGAGCGGGGCCTGGGTCATCTATGAGAGACCCCAGTACATGGGCTACCAGTACATCCTCATGAGAGGGGAGTACCCTAACTACCAGAGCTGGAACGGCTTCAGTGACACCATCCGCTCCTGTCGGCTGATCACACATGTAAGTCCTGGAAAAAAGCTTTTGACACAAAGCCAGAAATATCTCAAGCTAAGCATATGTTTCCTTTTTCCAACTATTTAAATCTGTAGATGAAGTAGCCGGAGCTCAGCAAGCCTCAGGACACACTTGGTTGTATCTGGGGTTACACTGAAGCCCGCCTGTGGTAGATAGACAATTGATACCACTTGCATATCTGTCTGTTACATATAAAGCTAGGGCCAGGAGATGGTTAGCTTAGCTTAGCGGAAAGACAGGAGACGGGGGAAGGTTAGCCTGGCTGTGTCCAAAGGTGCCCACCAGCACCTTTAAGGTACGAAGGCCAAGAACAGCCATGTTTTAAAATGCTTTATCTTGAGATCACAAGGTAATTATTTTGTTACCCTAAGAAAACAAGCTGTGTTAACTTGAGATAACACACAATATCCCATAATCAAGTGAAAACAATAGTTTTTTTGGTTTTGTTATCTCAAGAAAATGAGCTTTGTTGTTCAGAGATAACAAGATGATCAATCAATAATCACTAGGAAAACAAAGGGTCATGTTATCTCGAGATAATGAGATAATCAACCCATAAACAAGAGGTTGTTTCCTCTCATTACTCAAGATGTTTATTGAGATCAGGAGTGTCATGCCAGCATTGATGCAATCTTGCCAGCTGTAGCAGCTGATGTAGGCTGAAAATCAGATCAAGGACTAATAACTGATCAGAGCATCAGGCTGTACTTCAAGCAAGATCTAACGCAGGCCGAAGTTTCATTGTGTCTTTCTCTCTCTGTTAGAAATATTATGTAGATCAGACCGAATCATTTAAGGAGAAGACTGGCTGAAAGAAGGCTGAAGTCAGGTGTGATGAAATGAACAAGACACTCATTTTTCTCCATAATTATCCCATGAACATGAGAAACCGACCTTTGCTGTCTCATGAAGATAAAATCATTAACTTGTGATATTTAAGAGCATTAAATGAATACTTGGCCGTTCTTGGCTTCCATACCAGAACCTGCTAATGACCATGCTGTGCTTGTTTAATGTTCAAGCAATTTAGCGTGCACAGGATGCGCATCTATGAACGTCCAGACTTCAGCGGCCAGATGCTCGAGTTCAGCGAAGACCTGCCTAATCTGATGGACCGCTGGCCTTACCGTGACGTTCACTCGGCTCACATCCAGGACGGCGTCTGGGTTTTCTATGAGCATCCGAACTACAGGGGACGCCAGTACCTGCTGGAGAAGGGCGAGTACAGACGGCATGCAGACTGGGGTGCCCTTCATCCGTCTGTGGGCTCCATTAGACGTGTTTTGGACACATAAACAACATCACTTCCTGTTTCTCACCTTCCTCCTCTTATTACCCTGAACTTAACTTATCTGCAAATAAAAGTGCACAAACTGCAACAGAGTGGGAATGATTTTATTGCTGTGATAAAACAAATCAGAATGGAGCAAATATATGTATAAACAAAAGAGAACAAGTTTTTTTTATTTTTGAACATGGGTGTAACAGTGTAAACGTACAGGGTACATCCTCTGGGGAGCATTACATTTAATGACAACCTACCCATAAATGTTTATATTTCTTGTTCACACTAGAAACTTGGCCTGCTATTGGAGCTAGATGAAAGATCTGGGAGTCACCAAAAACATTACGATCCACTCTGGGGGAGGTGACTTTACATCTGGTGGCTGGCGAGGACCTGGCAGCAAAAGCCCAGTGATGATTCAAGAGAATTCACCAGCAGGGACCCACGGTATGCCGGCAGCCATTGTTCTTTAGATGACAGTCTGTGTCAGAGGAAAAAACAGCAGAGCAGTCCAACAAATCCAGCAGCCAGCTGGTGCACAGACACAACAAAATTAAAAGATACAGTTCACCTGCTGGATTAGTTTGCTGATATTTGAAGCCACTTCTGGCTGCACTTGTTTTGTCTTTTTAGAACGAGTTTATTAGGTAAACTGCAGTGGATTGTTTGACCTCTGACCTTCTCTAAAAGCGCTGCAGAGCATCTGGACCAAACTCCATTTAACAACTGATTAACATTTACAATTAAAGCCTTTACAAAAGTCGATATCAATGTAATTTTTAAGTACAAATGGCTTCCTATCTTTTGCTGCGGGTTTATCAGAAAGTTAGAAACATGTGACCCTAATTATTTATTTAATTACTTTTTTTTAAAATTATCTAATTAAATTATGTATTTAATTTATTTAATTATTTATTAACATCCATACATGTATACTGTTATTTTTTTTAGCAATATATGTATGTACATCCTACATTTCTTCTTAATCTCTTTTATGTCCACAAAGAATAAAAGTAGAGAGGATGAAAATAAGCAAGAAACATGATAATGATATTCAAAAAATAAAAGCACTAAAAACAAAAAAGGAAGGAGAGAGAGGGACAGAAGAAATTATTAGCTGTATCTTATTGAATCAGAAAAAATCAGATTTTTTTTCAATAAAAACTTTTGTAAGAATTCTGAGACAATATTCTTGTGAATTAAAAAAAAACAGCAAATAATATTCGTCTCAAGTGAGTGTATTGCTTTTTTTTGTAGTATTCATATCCTTTGCTTAAGTCAAATTATCAATCCTGTAATTTAAAAATATAAGCTGCCCTGCATTTCTTGAAAATATTAAAGGTAAAATAACTCATATAGAAAGTGGTCCACACTAGTGTTTATATTATATTGTTGGAGTATTATTACAGCTACATGAACATGTACATTCATGAGTACAGGAGTCATTAACTGTAAGGAATGCAGGATGTAGGCATAAGAGCCACCTAGTGGTACGAGAGTGTCATTACACAGGCAGAATCTGGACTTTGTATGGAGTTTTATAATGGAAATATGGAAATAGATATAGCATTTGGGGTAAAACAAACAAAGCAATCTCAACAGCATCTTATTAAATCGACTTAAGTCAACATTATCTATATCTAACTTGCAAAAATAGATTAATCTCACCCCTGAAAAGTTATCTGATGTTTAGAGCTGTAAAGATGTAATTTGGGGGATGATGAGAATTGTAAGGTCTTAATTTATAAGTATGAGTCATAGATCATTATCCTGGATCAGTATTTCCACATTTTCTATGAATTTGGTTTCTTTTCCTTTTTCTCTTTACCACTTGTTCACACTAAAACTTGTTGCCAAAAAGCAAGTAACGTGATACCACAAAAGATACACACTCGTAGAGCTTCAGGAAGGAACAGAGGGAAAAACATCATAAACACAACCTGCAGACACGTTTGATAAGAAACTATAAGACTCCAGTGTGTAATTTCCTCACACAGGATATGTTGGATTATATCAGGCTTGTCGATCTGCCAGAGCGGATGAATAAAAATCTGTGCTGTGATATGTACACAGTAGTAGACACGTGACGGCCGAGTAAACAGGAGATGTTGCAAATCAGTAACAGAGCTGCTGAGCTCAGCTGATGTTTGAACTAGAACTTTTATCATCACACAGATCTATTCTGGCATCTCCCAATGCTGATCAAGCAGTTTCTCAGGACACAAACAATCACTGCACCCTGCAAAAGGGAAAAAAAAAAAACTGAACCTGAACAGGTCAGTCGGTCTGAAGTCACAAAATGGGACTTTGAATAGTAAGAACCAGCAGTGGGGTTTTACAATGCAAATAAAATGACAGCTGCAAAAATGGGATGATGCAACCGTATTAAGGTGTGGAAATAAGTGTTGTTGGTTTTTTTTTAATTGACTAGTTCAAAGATCCTCCTTTGTGTTGTGAAAAGCATGCTTCCCTTTATGTCAACAGTGCCTGGATATTCTTTAACTTGCATTGAGGTGATTGAAACGTTTCTTAGCAGAGTCAGAAGTTATAAAGGTTTGCAGAATTTTAGATGCATAGACAAAAAAGAACATAAAGGAGACGTAAATACTGATTGAATATGTGTTAAGTAGGTGTTGCAGCAGAGAACTGACATCTGAGTTGTGGATTCAAGTTGCACTCGACTTGGACTTCAATACCAATGACTCATGACTTCACATGGACTTGAGCCTTTCGACTTTAAAATACTTGATACCTTCCCTCAAACCCAAAGATTCGGAAGTGTGTTATTGGAAAAAGTGTACGACGAATTAATTAATGTTCCTTTATTTCCTGGCTCAAGAAATGTTATTGTTATTACCAGCAAGTCGACACTCAATTCCCCAGATCCGCTTTGCTTGAACCAATCCAACAGCATCCAATCAACTTGCAGGAGAGAACTTTGACGAACTAAGGTTACATAACTGAGCAGCAGTTAATGATAATTTTGTTGGGGTACAAAAACCATGGTATGGTCAACAAAAACAAATTGCAGTACGCAAAACAGACGGAAACGCAACGACTTCCAACTTCCCTATTTGAGTCCCCAAGACTGCAGTGTTCTATTACTGTATGTTGTCTCACATTTCCAAGAACCATCAGTCCTCAAAGGGGCTCTGTATGAATGCCTCAATGCTGCCCTATGAATACACTGAATACCAGATTTAATACATAATTATGTGGCATGCTTGGTGATCTCTCTGCAGTAAATGTTAATGAAGTGGAGAGAGATCAAAGTGGAATTAAAAGTGGAGAAACTGCTCTCTGCCACCCACTGAGATTAATGGACTTTGAAGCAGTCATGTGTGATACTGGATTAAATCTATCAAACATGCAGCAGCTACAAAACTGCCTGTGTGTCTCTGGTGGCTCGTGATGACTTGGTAAAGGAGAGGAAGTACAGTATTTCTACACTGCAATGAAAGCATCCTGATTGATGGCACGCATAGTTACACAACAAAAACAACTTCAAGTCTATTATGAACTGATGAAACATAGATGGATAATGCAGCTTCTTTACTTCACTTTACATTAAGTATAAAAAGTAAGTCTTATATAGGGCTGCCACTAAATCTGTATGGTATATTCTATTCATCCAACCATTTTCAACTGCTTATCCAGCAGGCTGAGCGAAGCACCCCAGACGTCCCTCTCCCCAGCAACGCTTTCCAGGTACTCCTGGGGTACCCCATGGTGTTCGCAGGCCAGATGAAATATGTAATCCCTCCAGCATGTTCTGGGTCTGCCCCGGGGCCTCCTACCAGTGGAACGTGCCCAGAACATCTCCAACAGGAGACTCCCAGGAGGCATCCTGATCAGATGCCTGTACCTCCTCAACTGACCTCTTTCGACACAAAGGAGCAGCTGCTCTACTCCGCGCTCCCTCCAGATGTCAGAGCTCCTTACCCTATCTCTAAGGCTGAGCTCAGCCACCCACAGAAGAAACTCATTTTGGCTGCTTGTATCCGGAATATCATTCTTTCGGTCACTACCCAGAGCTCATGACCACAGGTGAGGGCTGGGACATAGATGGAGCAGTAAACCAAAAGCTCTGCCTTCTGGCTCAGCTTTCTCTTCACCACAACAGTCCAGCAGAGCACCCGCATCACTGCAGATGCTGCACCAAACCGCTGATCCATCTCACACTTCATTCTACCCTCACTCATGAACAAGACCCTGAGATACTTGAACTCCCTTGCTTGAGGCAGCAACTCTCTCCCAACCTGGAGGGGGCAATCCACCGGTTTCCAATAGAGAACCATGGCCTCAGATTTGGAGGTGCTGACTCTCATCCCAACCGCTTCACACTCGGCTGCAAACCGCCCCAGTGTGTGCTGGAGGTCACGGTGTGATGAAACCAACAGAACCACATCATCTGCAAAAAACAGAGATGCAATTCTAAGGTTACCAAACCGGACCCCTTCCTCCCCCTGGCTCCTATCCATGAATATCACAAACAGACTCAGAGACAAGGGACAACCCTGGCGGAGGGTATGGTATGTTCTTGGACACCATCTTGAAACCATGCCATTTATTTAGCCCTGCGATAGTCTAGATCTGCCTAGGCTGTACCCCACCTCTCGCCCTAAGTCAGCCGGGATAGTCTCGAGCCCCAACTGGATAAGCGGTTACAGAAAATTAATGAATGAATGCCATTTATTTATTGCTATTTTTAAGATTATTGTATTTGTTCATATACATTTCAAACTGGGATCTGAGTTATTTCATTTTATTTTATTTTATTTTATTTTATTTTTACTTACTGATTTAATGGAATGGCGGTGCTGGCCCTTTAAGAGAGCTGTGGAACCATGAATGAAACGCAGCCATTCATAAAAAACACAAGGGACGGACGTCAGCGCAGTCTTGAAGATGATTGGCTGGCCCTTTGACTGACTCTGTCCTCCAGCCAATGGCAGGGCAGCACAAGGCTCGGCTGTGGATCCAGCCATCAGAGCTCTTCATTGAGAAAAA